CTGTCAGTCCTTTCCCGTCACTCCCTCTTCGTCACTGTCAACTCCCTCCCCCGTCACTGTCACTCCCTCCCTCGTCACTGCCACTGTGAATAACACACAAAACTATTACTACTTTGCTGTCACTTTTGATCGAGTATGACGACCATTTCAGCGGTGACATAACGATAGGAGTTTTTAATGATGTCACCTTCGTTGGTGAGCTCTGAGGTGGCTCGAGAGACTGATACGGGATCTGCAAGGTCGTCCACAGATGTTGCACGTGTGGAGGGCTACATCTAGTGCGGGAAGGGCGGGGACAGTATACACCAAGGTACACACAACACCCATGGTACACACACCACACAGTACAGCCAGAACCCGACACCCTGGCAACACAAACTCCTCCTCCTCACGGAACTAATAAAAGACTCCAAAGCAAGACAAAGGTCAGGTGTGTAGCAGGTGTAGATGACGACCTCCCTCCCCCACCAGGTAAATACCAGGAGGTAGACCCACCAACACGACATTTATTGTCCTGACGTAAGAAGGCCACAGGAGGAGCATAACTCCGTCTATCAACACCAAGGACTAGCGTGAAGGTGACGGGAACTAAACTCTTTTAGGAAATTTAAAAATAAACACTTTATCTTTTCCTCTTAAAAACTTTTGTAGTATTTTAGCATTTATTTGTCGGGATAGATGGTATAGACAATAACGTTAGTGTAAACAGTATAAACAATAGGGTACAGACAGTAACGTTAGTGTAAACAGTATAAACAATAGGGTACAGACAGTAACGTTAGTGTAAACAGTATAAATAATAGGGTACAGACAGTAACGTTAGTGTAAACAGTATAAATAATAGGGTACAGACAGTAACGTTAGTGTAAACAGTATAAATAATATGGTACAGACAGTAACGTTAGTGTAAACAGTATAAATAATATGGTACAGACAGTAACGTTAGTGTAAACAGTATAAATAATAGGGTACAGACAGTAACGTTAGTGTAAACAGTATAAACAATAGGGTACAGACAGTAACGTTAGTGTAAACAGTATAAACAATAGGGTACAGACAGTAACGTTAGTGTAAACAGTATAAACAATAGGGTACAGACAGTAACGTTAGTGTAAACAGTATAAACAATAGGGTACAGACAGTAACGTTAGTGTAAACAGTATAAACAATAGGGTACAGACAGTAACGTTAGTGTAAACAGTATAAACAATAGGGTACAGACAGTAACGTTAGTGTAAACAGTATAAATAATAGGGTACAGACAGTAACGTTAGTGTAAACAGTATAAACAATAGGGTACAGACAGTAACGTTAGTGTAAACAGTATAAACAATAGGGTACAGACAGTAACGTTAGTGTAAACAGTATAAACAATAGGGTACAGACAGTAACGTTAGTGTAAACAGTATAAACAATAGGGTACAGACAGTAACGTTAGTGTAAACAGTATAAATAATAGGGTACAGACAGTAACGTTAGTGTAAACAGTATAAATAATAGGGTACAGACAGTAACGTTAGTGTAAACAGTATAAACAATAGGGTACAGACAGTAACGTTAGTGTAAACAGTATAAATAATAGGGTACAGACAGTAACGTTAGTGTAAACAGTATAAACAATAGGGTACAGACAGTAACGTTAGTGTAAACAGTATAAACAATAGGGTACAGACAGTAACGTTAGTGTAAACAGTATAAATAATAGGGTACAGACAGTAACTTTAGTGTAAACAGTATAAATAATAGGGTACAGACAGTAACGTTAGTGTAAACAGTATAAACAATAGGGTACAGGCAGTAACGTTAGTGTAAACAGTATAATAGGGTACAGACAGTAACGTTAGTGTAAACAGTATAAATAATATGGTAGTCTGATAGCATACAAAGGAACCAACTCGTCAGATTTATTAAAAAAGGACAAAAAGTGACCCGCCGAGGCAAAGAGAACGGGTTGTGGGCGGTAGGAGGTTCCCAAGGAGAGCCAGCTGGTGGCCAAGGCGATCCACCATGCTGGTGCTCCTGTGTGCTAGACAACTCCTTTCCTTCCTTACTCTTTCCTCTCCTTCCTACCTATCCTTCTTCAGTCTCCTTGTCTCTCATCTCCATCCTTCTATCTCTCTATCTCCCTGATCAACCAGTCATCCCTCACCTCCAGCAATAAGACGACAGGGAACGAAAGTAAGTTTGTCTGGGCACGAGGAAGAAAACTCACTTCCTCTACTCTGCATATGGCCATGTTGCAGTGCCGTCTGGTGCGTCGCGCGCGGGTTATCAACTTGGGTCATGCACACGCGCCTACCAGGAAGTTCCGGAAGCTTAAGTGTTGGTGTTTTACGGAGTGGAAGGGTGTTATTATTATGATCATTATCTTTATTACTAGCTTAGGTTAGGTTAGGTTAGGCTAGTTAATCTCCAAGTGAAATAAAGTAGATTGCCTAATCTTCTGGTGTTCCTAACTCATCATTATTATTATCATCCTTATTTATGATCATCATTTCCCTCGCGTGTTGCTTATTTACCCAGGTGGGAGGACACAAGTGGGGGATGACCTCGATTCCGTCTTCCCTTAAGGGGTTCATGACCTCTCCCCACCCTGGCTCAATCAGGAAGTCTCGCGTGTGTGTAGGTACGTGTCTTGTGGTGGTTGTAAGCACTGTGGCTTAATATTATAAAAGGTTATACATGTTGTTGCTGTAATGATTATTAGTAGCAGCAGTAGTAAAATGGCGGCGAAGGTGTGGCTATTGGGGAGGCTGAAGGCCATAAAAAAGTAGTAGTAGTAGTAGTAGTAGTACACAGAGAAGGAATATTAGCAGTAATATAAGTAGTAATATAGTCGACTCTGGTGGGTGTGGAAGCGTCCGTGTAGCAAGGCGAGTGATAATATTTTTAGCTCTGTCCTCCCCTGCTCGTCATACTCGGAAGGAACTGAGAGAAGGTCGTAGAGTCGGGGCGTTCGTAATAGTGAGGATGTGACTATTGTAGCGTTCGTAATAGCAAGGATAGATCTTTAAGGATGGGGGTCACATGGATGGGGGTGGGGGTCATGTGGATAGGGGTGAGGATGCTGGAGGTCAGATAGATGGAGTTCACATGGATAGGAGTAGAGGATCTGGAGGCCACATCGATGGGGTAAGGGTGCTGGAGGTCACAGATAGGGGTGGGGATGCTGGAGGTCACATGGACTAAGGTGAGCGAGTGCTGGAGGTCACATGGACTAAGGTGAGCGAGTGTTGGAGGTCACATGGACGGGAGTGGTGAGTGCTGGAGGTCACGTGGGCGGGAGGATAGGAGGTGCTGGAGGTCACTTAGACAAAGAGAGAGAAGGATACCGTATGTTACACAAAGCAATGGGCAAAAAATATATACTTGATTAAGAGAGAGAGAGAGAGAGAGAGAGAGGGGAGGGGTAATTAAAGGAAATGAATAGAGTGGGAAAGGAAGAAAGAAGAAAAATAGGGAAATAAAGACGGGAAGAAGGAAGAGAGGGAATGAGGGAGGGAGAAGAAGAACAAGAAGAAGAAGATTTAAAAGTAGAATAAGATACTAGACAGGAATTGAAGCTTGAGACATACTGGCGTTTAGACGACTATAATAAATGTCAAGTCAGTGGTAGCTAGTTGGCGAAGATACGTCAGGCGATACTTTCATATTGGACTCAAAACAGACAGACTGACAGACACAGGGAATCACAACAAGGCAGATAGACGGTAGATAGACAGTGAGTAGTAATAATTCAACACAAAGGAGGTTGACATTTTGAAATCGAGTCAAAATGGATAAAATTGAACATAAGGGAAATACGTTAGACGTTATATACACAAATAAACGTAATTCAGGCCACTAAGAAGATCTTATTAAACGTGTAGGAGTTAGGTGCATACTGAACGCGTCACACCATAGAAGAGTTTAATAATGCCGGGATATTTAAACCTAAATTACAGGTTGAGAATAAAGAAGCGGGGAATACCACACTAGAAAAACTTACAAGACTCAGGCCAAAGGCAAGAAAACCTACCGTAAGGAGAGGAGGTGAAGTTACTAATGATGGTGGGCGTATGGGCGTGCTGTGTGTGTGTGTGTGTGTGTGTGTGTGTGTGTGTGTGTTTGTGTAAGTACGTGTGTGTGTGTGTGTGTGTGTGCGTGCGGGGGGGGTAGGTTGCCCTGGTGACCTCGACGCCCACGGGGGTGAGGCAGGGTGCGGGCGGGTGCTTGTGTGGGTGTCCTTGCAGACTCCGGGAACATAACACACAAGGATAACATCGACGTACCACACAAGGGCGAGGAACTGAACCGATTTCCTAGTGTGTGTCTGTGTGTATGTGTGTGTGTCTGTGTGTATGTGTGTGTGTGTGTGTGGTATGAGGTGTGTCTGTGTCTGTGTCTGTGTGTGTGCACGTGTTTGGTATGAGGTATGTGCGTGTGTTTGGTATGAGGTGTGTGTGTATATGTGTGTCTGGATGTGTGTGTGTGTGTGTGTGTGTGTATTCACGGCCGAGACACATTAAAGTGAGTTCTTTAAAGTCTATTTACTCCTGAGAATCTCAAGCACTGCCTCACCCCGCAAGCACACGTGTCCTGCTTGTGTGTGTATGCGTGTGTGTGTGTGTGTGTGTGTGTTCTCTACCGGGAAATACTAGTATTGCACCACTCGCAGGCACGCAAGCACTCGTCAATAGATCTACATGTGAAAATATACATACATACATACATATATACATACATATATAAACATACGCATGCATATATACACACCTACATTCTCACGGATGCTCCCCCACACACTCAAACATATGCACGCAAAACTCAAACACACACACACACACAGTACAAGCACTACCGTTATCATGCTGCACCTCGAAGCGTGGTTGATTGCATGACTCAAGTGAATATAATTGCCGGAGACGGAAACACGATATGTGATAACCTTGTGTAGTCAGGGAGGAGGAGGGGATGCCTGGTCGAGGGGGTTGATGCCTGGTCGAGGGGTTGATGCCTGGTCATGGGGGATGATGCCTGGTCGAGGGGTTGATGCCTGGTCGTGGGGATGATGCCTGGTCGTGGTGGATGATGCCTGGTCGTGGGGGTTGATGCCTGGTCGTGGGGATAATGCCTGGTCGTGGGGTTGATGCCTGGTCGTGGTGGATGATGCCTGGTCGAGGGGTTGATGCCTGGTCATGGGGGATGATGCCTGGGGGTTGATGCCTGGTCGTGGGGATGATGCCTGGTCGTGGTGGATGCCTGGTCGGGGTTGATGCTGGTCGGGGGATAATGCCTGGTCGTGGGGTTGATGCTGGTCGTGGGGATGATGCCTGGTCGAGGGGTTGATGCCTGGTCATGGGGGATGATGCCTGGTCGAGGGGGTTGATGCCTGGTCGTGGGGATGGCCTGGTCGTGGATGATGCCTGGTCGGGGTTGATGCCTGGTCGTGGGGATAATGCCTGGTCGTGGGGGTTGATGCCTGGTCGTGGGGATGATGCCTGGTCGAGGGGTTGATGCCTGGTCATGGGGGATGATGCCTGGTCGAGGGGGTTGATGCCTGGTCGTGGGGATGATGCCTGGTCGTGGTGGATGATGCCTGGCCTGATGCCTGGTCGTGGGGTTGATGGGTTGATGCCTGGTCGTGGGGGGATGCCTGGTCGTGGGGGATGTCGTGGTTGGGTCGTGGGGATAATGCCTGGTCGGATACCTGGTCTGATGCCTGGTCGGTTGATGCCTGGTCGTGGGGGATAATGCCTGGTCGTGGGGTTGATGCCTGGTCGTGGGGGTTGATGCCTGGTCGTGGGGGTTGATGCCTGGTCGTGGGGTTGATGCCTGGTCGTGGGGTTGATGCCTGGTTGATGCCTGGTCGTAGGGGATGATGCCTGGTCGTAGGGGTTGATGCCTGGTCGTGGGGTTGATGCCTGGTCGTAGGGATTGATGCCTGGTCGTGGTCGTGGGGTTGATGCCTGGTCGGGGGTTGATGCCTGGTCGTAGGGGTTGATGCCTGGTCGTGGGAGATAATGCCTGGTCGTGGGGTTGATGCTGGTCGTATGATGGGGATGATGCCTGGTCGTGGGGTTGATGCCTGGTCGTAGGGGTTGATGCCTGGTCGTGGGGGTATGAGACTCGTGTCGAAATCCTTCCCCTCCCCCCTTCTCTCCTTCATCCTTCCCTGGTGTGGAGGATCTCGCCCGCACATATATCTTTCCAACACTGACCAGACGACTTGTTAGGTAGTGAAGGACACGCGGGACAAGGGCGCTACCTCACACACACACACACACACACACACACACACACACACACACACACACGCACACACACACACACACACATTTCCTATGCACATGTCCCCGTTGTGATGCCTGATATTTGACTTTTTTCTAATTGATTTTAATCGGGATTTTGATTTTTTAAGATATATCTCGTCAACATAATACGCCATTTTGAGATATTTTTTTATGGAGTATCAAACAGGAGTTTTTATAATATTTAAAGGAATATTTATCTTGATTTTGACATATTTATCGACTACTTACCTAATTCTCTGATATAATTTAATACGAGTCTGAAATATCTATCGAATATTTATATTCTATAATATACATGAAGGTATAATCGAAGTATATTCTCTGGATATACATTTCGTCAATATCCACTTGAGAAATATACTACTGAAGTACACTTATCTCGCTCACTATTTTTTTCAAGCACAGTATTCTGGGTAAAATTTCTCTACTGTGACGTACGTAAGTTCCCTGATATATACTCTAACTATATTCCCTGAAGTATATTTCTTCATGTATTTTTCTTACAGTTAAATACGAAGCATCTCTATCACATATTTACCAATTTCCGGTCGCGTGTTTCATCCGTATTATTATATTATAGTTTTCGGATCATCTGAACATTAGCCACCCCCCTCCCCCACACACCACTTGTTTCACCTTAAAGTTAACAGCCCAACACATATTTAACCTAACGTAAGCACCCTAACGCTAATCTACGAATCGTAATAACAACTCAACTTAATTTAACCACACTACGCTAACTTAACCTAACTATCCCAATACTAAGCTAACCACCCTAACACTTATCTAACCACCACTAACTAACCATCCAAACGCTAACCTAATCAAGAGAAATAATTTGGTCTTTAATGACGTGATCTTTTTTTTCTCTTCACGTCTTCTCATCGTGTGGTAAACGGGAAGACCCACAGCTTAACTTAGGTTTTCCCCCCTTGAGAGACTCTTCAGGTGTGTTCCTTAATGATGTTGGCTAATGAAGAAACAGGTAGTAGTGTGTCACCTGGATGTCGATTCTCATCTCACATTATATACCCCGATATGGTGTCATATTTTTGTCCCTGTCATACACTACCTCGTTTAAGTGTCATGTACTGTTTTATACACAGCCAAAGTGCCTCAGTAAGGTGTCATATACTATTTTACACTGCCTCGTCCGGGTGTCAGGTATGGAGGCCACAGGTAAGTGCTGAGGTAGGCGTCACGAGGCCAACTGGGAGGTCCATACAGCCTCCTTCAAGGTCCTGTTGTACCGTGAGGCGTCGAGGTGTTAGGAAAAGGTGTCCTGCTGTCCTTACTGTGGCGGTGTGGCGATGGTGGTGTTTGGCTGTGGTGGTGTGTGGTTGTGGTGGTGTGTGGTTGTGGTGGTGTGTGGTTGTGGTGGTGTGTGGTTGTGGTAGTTGTGTGACGTGGGTATCTATTGTTTTTCGTTTAATGGTCACACACACACACACACACACACACACACACACACACACACACAGGGGAGAAAAGGAGGTCTGAAGGAAAGGGAAAGAGAAGAAAAAAGACAAGGGGGATGAGGAGGGTAGAGAGAAGAGCAAGCATGAAGGAGAAAGGGAGGGGAAGACCGATAATGAGAGGGAAGGGGGAAGAAGAATAAAGGGGAGGGGAGGAGTATGATAGAGAGAGAAGGAAGATGATGGAAAGAAACTCATAAGGAAAAGGAATGGACAGGGGGGGCAGTAGGGAGGAAGGAAGAGGGAAGAGGGAAGAAGAGGTGACGGCATTGGTAACAAAACAATGACAAGGTATTTTAATAACATCTTAATATCTCCTTCTTTTATCTTTCACCTTCTCTCACTCTATTCTTTATTATCTCTCCCTTATTCTCTCTTTTCTCAATCTTTCATTCTCTCCCTCTCTACTCTCTATCTTTCATCTTCCCTCGCTCTCTCTCTCTCTCTCGTGTCCTGAGACCAGCTGCTTGGCGTGTGATCAGTGCCTCAGTGACATCATGTGACTATTCTGGACCATTATGTACCATAAATAGTCTGCCGCCACTATCCTCGCTTCACCATCTAATCTGCGAGTCACCAGACGATTAGCCCACCTAACTTATTTCACCTGGTAATTAAACACCTTAACGATACCTGGAAGGAGTTAGGTTAGGTTGGTTAATATGATGGTGAAATAAGGTGGGTGGAGATGTTCAATAAACACACACACACACACACACACACACACAGTTTCCTTAATTTTAGCAGCCAAGCACACGTGGGTTCCGTGTGGGCTGCTTGGCTAAGTGATCTTGAAGAGAGCCACTTTTCACGGGTTCGAGGTTTGATATTTATGCAGTTTATTTAGAGAGAATTTTACGGATAGAAACTGCACACAATGGCATGCTATTGTGAGAGAGAGAGAGAGAGAGAGAGAGAGAGTCACACCTGAGGGAGAGAGAGAGAGAGAGGTGGTCGTTACGGTAATGCTCTCGGGCAATCAGTCAGTTGTTATGGTGTTGGGGTAGGTCACTTACCCCCTGGCCTCTGAGGTTAAAGAGAGGTGGGAGGAGGGGCAGAGGCAGGTAGGGGTGGAAAGGTATGACAGGGAGATGGGAGTAGGAGGGGGTGGGGGGAAGGGTGGGTGAAGTGGAAGGGAGGAGAGGAAGGAGGAATGGAAAGGAGAAGGAGTGGAATGGAGGGAAAGAAAGAGGGTAGGAGAGGGAGGAAAAGGGAGAGAAAAGGAGGAGGAAGAGAGAAAGGAGGATGATAAAGTGTGACCGAATTTTTTTGGTGGGAATCAACAAATACAAGAAAAATGGAATTGTGTGTGTGTGTGTGTGTGTGTGTGTGTGTGTGTGTGTGTAGACCAACGGTGAACAATAACCTCCACAATTATCTAACGTGACCCCGGGCTGGCAGCTGTATACATACCACACATCACACACTAGTAAAGTCAACTCAGCACACACCAACCGACCGCGTGGACAAGGAGCTTCAAGTATAAACAACCTGCCCTGTAAGCACCCCCGCCACACCCGCCACCAAAAATAATACTTGGCATCTACTCAACGCCCATGACCGTGAGACATATTTTTAATGACTTATAATGTTTATTCTGAAACAACTGGTGGCGTCAAGGTTGAGTGGTGAAGTATAGGAGGAATAATGATGATGGTATTACTGAGGTATTAATATTAAGTCAACTAATATGTGAACAACAATAATGATAATAAGTTATTGATAATAATAATAATAATAACTTTATAATAAAACAATTACTATGGGAGTTATTGACTACAGCTTGTTGATCGAGGGAGGTGTTGAGTCTTACGTTGTTTGTGACGGAGATGGCTCGCCTTTAATTGCTTTCAGCTGTAACAAAGTGCAACATATTTTCATTATTGGCACTGATAAGACCTTGGAGCGAGACTGACACAAGTGGCCCAGGGCCAGCGATGGCCAGCCAAGCCGTTGGTGACTTTCAGTACCAAGTCAGTAATACGTCCAGTAGGGCGCAGTACCTCGGATAATATAACCATATGTTTAGCAGAGTGAGAGCAGACACCCCGAGTCCTCACCAGTGATACTTGTGGTGAGAACACGTTTATAGTTTCTAAGTGGACTGACCAAGGAGGTTAGATTAAGTGCATTTAATAGTGAAACTCTTCACCACAACTGCTCATCACCTTTGATATAAATGTTAGTTTAGTTTGTTAATAAATGTAAACAGTGTAATGTGATACATACATGACACCTTTAGAATTACACCACTCGTGAGACAGAATACTAAGTAAACCTCCCACAACCACTACTAACATTGCTGGTGATTAAAGGGTGGTCACAGTAGTAGTAGTAGGTCAAACAACATGGAAAATCAGCGCGAGCCATAACAAAAAACCATAACCCAACCATCCAGGCAGAGGGTCTTGTTAAAATCTATAACCCGGTTAACACAGGTGGCGTCACACAAACACTCCGCAGCCCTGTAAGTGAATGCAAACAAAGTGTACAAAGAATGACGAGACGTAAACAATTTATGACTCTTGAATCAACAACACTAGTCTGACACACAAGAAGGGGGAGGCTAGGGGAAGGGGGAGAGGCTAGGGGAAGAGGGAGAGGCTAGGGGAAGAGGGAGGGACTTAGGGGGTAGGGGTTAAGATGAGGAGGAGGAGGGAGCTGGGGGAAGGAGAGGGTGCTAGGGTAAGCGGGAGGCGGCTAGGGAAAGAGGGAGGGATGCTAGGGGAAGAGGAGGGACGTTAGGGGAGGAGCAAGGGGGTTAGGGGAAGGAAGAGAGCTAAGGGAGGGAATATAGTGTGGCTTAGAAAAGAGGAGGGAGATGGGCTTGGGCAAAGGAAGGGACTGGACAGGGGAAGGAGCTTGGGCAAAGGGGCAGAAATGAAAAGGAAGAAGTGTTTTGGTTTGGTGCTTAGGAGGAGAATGTGGACTTGGGACTGGTCTTGAGACTTGAGGGAGGAGGAGAAGAGGAAGAGTGGGGGGGGTTATTCGGACATGGAGGAGGAGAGGAAGAAGGAAGGAGTTTACTCATCACAATCAATCTAAGTAATGGCTCAGGTTGGGGAACTTGGGAGAGATGGGGAAGGGGAGAGACGAGAGGGAGGGGGAGGAGAGGTGAGGGGAAGAGGAAGGGGAGGGTCGGGCAGTGGGGGAGCGTAGACCACGTTCCCGGCACAAACATGTAAACAAGTGGGGCGACCTGTCTGGCCGGTCACCTG